CACATACCTCAGAATGGCTGTGAACTTCAAAGAACTGAAAGTTTCCCATGCCATAGAGCAGTGTATAACGTAATTGCCCCATCAAAAACTCTTTTCTAATTAATTATTCAGAACATAGAAATGTTAATTTTTACATATTTTATAATGTTCTCTATCATTAGTGGTCTTCAAATTAATTACAGTGGAAGAGTAATGTTGAACCAGCCACAGCTATGAGCAAATTCCACAGTCCTCAACCTCTGTAGGTTATAATCTTGTGGAAATTTACTTTCCATCCTTATCTCTTGAGTTGCATGGGCATTCACGTCAACCTGGATAATTTAGTCACTGACCTGCAGCATGTGCCCCCTTTCAGATTGCTGGCTTTGGAATCTTCTTGCCTGCCTAACCAAACATTATTTTTCCTCTGAGTTCAGATTGAGGTCCACTGCTCTTTCTTATTCTCAGGCCTATGCTGATCTCTTCCTGCTTGGAATCTGAGCAGTACATAGTCTTTGTGTGATTGTGAGTATGGAATTTGAGCAGTGCAACTCCTGTGGCCAGTTAGAGAAAACTTTTTGCTTTATAAAAGGCTTGTGATTAGGACAGGCCTATCTGGGTAATCCCTCTATTTTAGGTCAACTATTGTATATAACATAATCTAATCACAGTAGTAAAACCTATCATATTCACAGTCCTGTGAATTATGTAGATGTATATACCAGGGCCAGGGAATCTCAGGGACATCTTAGTATTTTGTAATTACTGAATAAGTAAGATTTGTATAAGCATAGGTAAAAAGCTCTCTTAGGTGGGAAGGAAATAAAAACAAAAAACCCAAAAGAAGTGGGATGAGGTGGACTGTGCCTATAATCCTAGCACTCTAAGAAGCTGAGACAGGACAATCACAGATTGAAGCCCAGCCTTGATAATCTGGTCACTCAGCAAGACCCTGTGTCAAAATAAAAGACTTAAGAAAATGCTGAGGATGTAGTTCAGTGTGAAGGTCCTAGGTTCATCTGCTGTACCATGAAAACCAAAAATAAACAAACCAACAAAAACCCCTGAAAAGCAAATATCCACTAGGAGTTTTTGAAGACAATTAATATATCTCTATTTGGGACCCAATAATAAAAGCCCCTTTGTATGAAGGTCTCCTGTATGTTTTACATAATTGCATTCCTCTCAGTTCTGTTAAGATGGCATTAGTGTACTTTTTCAAGGAAAGAAATTTACACAATAAATTGAAAAGTCACCTTCCAAATTTATATCTCAAGGGCTGGCCAAATAGCTCAGCAGATTAAAGCACCTGCAAGCAGGTGCAGGGGCCAGGGGTTCGATCCCCAGGCTTGCAGTGATGGCCCTGCCCCTGGGGCATGCTGAGATGGCAACTGAGACTGGTTACAGTGGTGCAAGCCTGTAATCCCAGCTCTTGGGAGGCTGTAAACAGGCGGATCACTACGAGTTTGATCTAGTAGTGAGACCCTGAACACTCTGTAGACCCTTCCCTAAAATTAAAAAAAAAATTATATCTCAATAATAGCATTATAAAATGAGATTATAGTTTAAACACTGGGTGACCTGCCTTTGTGTTTTCTGTACTATTTCACCTGTGGTTAACAGGTGTCGAGAAAGATTTTTAGGCCAGGTACAGTAGTCTATGATTCCAGCACTTGGGAGGCTGAGGAAGAAAGATCATGAGTTTGAGGTCAGCATGGGCTACATACATAAAAAGTTCAAGAGCAGCTTGGAGTACATATCGAGACCCAGTCTCAAAAAACAAAACAAAACAAAACAAAAGAAAGACTGATTTTAGAGGGTGCATATAAGTGCGAGGCAGAAGAATGGAAGGAGATCTGGATGAGGAAGGAAGGAAGGAAGCAAAAGGACTGGGTGAAGCACTGTCCTAGAGAAGTTAATATTGCCAGTAGTGATAGGCTGGGCTAGGACACTGGAGGCAGGGGTGATATGTTATAGTTGAAAGACACTTGATGAGCCAGAAGTGGTGGCATACACATGTCATCCCAACATTTGGGAGGTTGAGGCAGGACTGACACAAGTTCTAGATGAGTCGGGGTTACATAATGAGACTCTGTCCAAAAAATTTTTTTAAAGGTGGACACGATCAAGCTTCTCAGTCTTGCTGCAAATTTGCAGGAAATGCATAGGACAGAAGCACAGGTTAAACTGCTCATGTATACACAATCAGCATAGTGGGTACTACACAGAAAAATAGTTCAGAGATACACCACCCAAATATCATGGTTATTCATGTACTATAAACATAATCTTTTTAAAAGTATTACTGTTATTAATACAAAGGAATGTGTAGAGAGAACAGCTTTGGTAACTCTGTAGGAACAGATGAAAGTCTGACTAGTTTTGATGAAAGGCCTCATAGGGCGATCCTAGCAAGCTCTTTGGTTACTGAGAGTTAGTCATGACCAGACCTACACTATCAGTTGTGTAACCAGGGCCAGTTTGGGGCCACAAAATCGATGCAGTTGCATGGGGCCTTGTACTCAGATGGCTTCACATCTGTCCTAACTCTTACTGTCTCCCAGTTTGCATTGTAGAAATGCAGTCTGAGGTGACAACTGGCACTGCGCTGGGCCTGGGAATAGCAGTTTACATGGGAACCTGTCTTCTCCTATCCTTCATTGTTGTGGATCTGCAGCTGTCTACTCCCCTGCCCTCTCCTCTGACCTGCTCCTGCCCAGTGATCACTGCCCCACCTCGGTCAGAGTTCAGCATGACTTCCTCCTGGTGTCTGGGGAGAAGGCAAGGCAGTGCACTGGAGCTAGCAGGGCCACAGTGTGAGGTGCTTGACTCAGTGCAAGCAAGGTACTGAGTGGAGGTCACCTGCCTGCTGCAGGACGGGAAGGCACCTGGCCTGGTTTCCCACCTCTAGCTGGGTAATGAGAATCAGTCCTACACTGGCAGCAGGAGGATCCTGGTGGCCAAGGGATTGTGTCGGCCCCCAAGTTCCTGGGGTGTGTGTGTGTGTGTGTGTGTCTGTGCTTATCCCAGAGATATCTCTTGCCAGGGAGGGCAGCATTAAATAGCAAATAAAAAAATTACAATGACAGACATGGGTCCAACAAACTGAGTAGCTAGCTAATCCTATTAATAATATGAGACAAATTTCAGTTTTCTCACAGGTAACATGGGAGAATAAAACAGCAAATGCTACATATATCTTAATTTAAGTGAGGGCTTATACCAATGCATTTTGAATGTATTAAATAACTATTAGCTGGAAATAGATTTTTTTAAAAGTCCACTGCCCACAAAGTCATAGAAGTAGTATTTTTTTTTAAATGTAGATATAAGAAGGATCTGAGAAAAAGAAAAGGAGGATCTGGTGCCAGGCATGGTGGCACATGTACTCAGAAGACCGAGGCAAAAGGATTGTTGCAAGTTTGTGGCCAGCTTGAGCTACATAGTTTCAGTTCAAGGCCAGTCTAAAGCACATAGTGAGACATTGTCTCAAAAAGCAAAAAAAGAAAGATCTGATAAAAATGAGGACATGAGAAGGATTTGGCAACATACGCAGTAGAAATGTGGTTACTATAGAACAACAACTTTAACAGTTGTCTAGGACATGTAGTTTACCCTCTTGCAAAATGTAGATCCTTGGGAAATGTCTTCTTTTGATCTGAGGATCTTTTGCTTGGTGGTATCAATGAAAATACTTCTGCTTAAAATGGGGAAGCTTGGCTAAAAAGGAGTTTGAGGTTAGGAAGACCCACGGATGTCTTAAACAAATCAAGTTGTACAGGGATTGGGTAATTTGTTCTTACCTATAAACTTGTAAAATGTACTTGCTTTTGCATTTTCACTTTGACTCTAGCTTCTGTTCCTGATAAACATAGGTGTTAACAACAAGCTAAGTACAGTGAAATTCATGCTGACTTTTTCTTTTCCTTTTACAATTTATTTATTTTTTAAGATGGGAATGGTATGTCTCAGTGTGTTGCCCAGTCTGGCCTCAAACTTGGGGGCTCAAGCGATTCTCTTGCCTCAGTCTCCTGAGTAACTGAGATAGCAGGCTCAGCTTCAAGATTGTATTTTAAACCATGAAAACTAGAACCTAACTTGAATTTATACTAGGAAGCTGATTTATTTCATGCAATGGACTACCGTGCTGGCATTAAAAAGGATGAGGCAGACCTCTACCGACAGCAGAACAACCAGGGAATTTTCAGTAGACAAGGAGAAAAAGGTAGTTCTAGGAACATGTTTAGTCTTGCTTACTCAGGAAATAGACATGTACAGGTAAACACATATACAAAGGTCTGAGATCACATACCAAGTTGATCACAGTGGCGCACACCTGTAATCTCAGCTTCGAGACGCTGAGGCGGGAGGATCACTGGAAGTTTCAGGGCAGCCTCGGCTACATAGCGTGGCCCTGTCTCAAAAAAAACCAAAGCCAAAATAAAATAAAGTCACGCACCAAACTGTTAACACTAAGTATCTCTAAGGCCGAGGTGGGTGCAGTGTGTGTGTAAATCAACGGGACACTCACATTTCTCGGAGTATTTCTGTTGTTTGAACCTTTCATGTTTCCATACATTACTGAAAAGCAGTGGGAAGAGCATTTTGAGAGGCTGTGGCAAAAAGTTGAGGAGGGGGCGGGAGCGCACCGCCCGGGTCTCCTCAGAGTCCCCGGCGCCTGAGGTGAGGAGACCCCGCCCCGCTGAGGTGATTCTGCAGAGGGGCGGAGCTCTGCAGCTCCGAGGCGGGAGGCGGCCCCGGGGGCGGGCCCATCCGACTCCAGCGGCTCGCTCCGCTCCCACCATGCCCTTATAAGGAGCGCCCCGAGTTAGGACTCCGGAATCCGGTCGCGATCCCGGCGGCACAGCCCCAATCCCAGGCCCCTCCCTTGGGAATGGGGGGTGGGCGGGACTTTGGCGGGTCGGTGCTAGGGGCGGAGCATATAGAAGCGGGACCAATAGGAGTGGCGACTCGGGTCTGAGCGGCGCCGCCATTGGGCGCGGCGACGTGAGGGGGTGGGGCGCCTGTAGGGCTGGTTACGCCGAGGGAAGCCGCGACTCTAGTCGCTTCTCGGAGTCAGTCCCTCCGCCGGTTCCCGGCCCAGCCGATCCCTGTTCTCCGTTGCCCGCGGTTCGCCGCCCCGCTAGCCGCCGCGATGCCGGTGTTTCACACGCGCACGATTGAGAGCATCTTGGAGCCGGTGGCACAGCAGATCTCGCACCTGGTGATTATGCACGAGGAGGGCGAGGTGGACGGCAAAGCCATTCCTGACCTCACCGCGCCCGTGGCTGCCGTGCAAGCGGCAGTCAGCAACCTCGTCCGGGTGAGTGCACCGGCCCTGGAATGGGAGCGGGCGGGACACGTCCGGATCTGGGTCTGGGTCCGGGTCCAGGTCCGAGGCTTCGCGCCTTCGTGGGGTCCAGCGCTAGATGCGGTGGTTGGGACGCCGACTCCCGGTTCTGACCTTGAGCCAGCCCCCGGGTCTTGCAAGACTCAGTCTCCTCTTCTGGGAAATGGGATAGTCATAAAGGCCGTCCTAAGGGTACGTGGTGAACTCAACCAGGTGTTCTAGGGAGATGCCCAGCAAATGCCCGGAGTCAGCTGCGGCCGTCCGAAGGACCACTTCCCTGGGCGGGCTGTGTCCCCTCACCGACTACCTTGCTCTCAGCTCCTTTTTAGGGCTCCCCAGGCTGGCCTGTGCGTGGGCGGTTCTCTTGCGGATTCCCCGGCTTTTCTGCCAGGGATTCTTGATCCACGCTGCCCTCTCTTCCAACACACTGCCCCCGCTTCCGCGACCTGGCTTGCCCACCCACCCCTTCCCGGGCTCCACGAGTCCGCCCTCTTCTCCCCAGTTATCTAACTGAGCGCGGTCTCGGTGCGGGCCTTCTTCCCTCCGGGGCATTTTACTTCTGCTTTCACCTCAGGCACTCACATACCTTTACACTGTAATCCAGGACCTGGAGCTCCATTTTTTTCTCGCTTAACCTTTGCTGCCTGGTGTGTTACTGCCTGGCTGTGGCGATTTCCACCTGGCTTTACCTGCTGTCAACCCGTTTCCTCCCACAGGGGCCTTTCCCGACGAGGGGGCCTCCTCCTCTGGCACCTCCTCTTGGCAGGAAGCAAGATGGAGCTGCTGGGAGAGGCCTGTGGAATCTGGGATCTGAGAGACTGGGGCGTCCCCTGTCTGATCTCCAGTTTCCTGACGGTTGGTGGCTCCTCAGACCTCTGTCGTTAAGGGCTGTGACTGGTGATTGAGGTAATTTCTGGAGGAGATGGAGCTCATTTCTGAAATAAAAGGTGCTGAGAGCAGCCTCCTAACACTCCCCTGGCTAATGTCACACTTAATGTCCCACTCTGGGTGGGTGACTCAGATTGCTGCCGCCTGTGAGCAGCACTTCTTGGAAAAAGTTTATAGTGCTCTCTCATTGAGCCTCTTAAATGGTGTGCCAGGATAATTGGGAGGTAAGTGTGGGTCTGGGTGGGGCTTGGATTACTTCTCTGATTAGAGCGTTTTGGTGCAGGAAGAGGCACTTGAGCAGCTAAAAATCTTGCCGGATTTTTGGGGTGTGTGGTGGGAGGGTGGAGTTGTCCCAAGCAGTGCAAGAGGCTGGTACTAGGAAAACAGGGAGATCCTAGATTATAAATTCCTAGTCAGTTTCATTAAGAATGTATTCAGTAAGAATAGTGTATTCATTCAAAATACATACTTCTACTTTGTTGTTCTCCTTATAGCTAACCTTTATCTAAAACTCCAGAGGACATTCTTATGCAGTGTTGTCTAACATGGCTGCATTCCAGGCCTCCATTTTTCACCAAAGGGAAACAATGTAAAGAGACAAGGTAATAGTGTCCCTCTAGGCAGCACTTCAGGAAATGAAATTTTTAAACCACATGTTGCACTTAGAATAGAGTTAGTGTAGCCAAGGGGTTAGGCTATCTGGTTAGGCTATTTAGAGCAAAGTTATTTATGAGATTCCATGCCATGAATTAATAAGCATTGAATGGCTGCTTTTCTAAAGAGCATCGTAATAAATCAGTGGTTCTCAGCTCAGAGTGTGCATGAGAATCACCAGTGGGGCTTTTTAGGTATAAAGATGTCCAGCTTCCATCTCAGACGTTGTGAGAGCTCTCCAGGGGGAGGGTCAAGGCCTCTGTATCTTTAAGAAGCTCCATAGGTGATTGTGATGGACAACAACCTTACATGAACAGCACAGTTTTGGACATTGTGAAGCAAACAAATAAGGCCAGTCATAAGCTGAAAGAAATTACATGTTGTGAACATACTTCCCAACACACACAAAAGAAGGGATTGGAGATTGGTGATAGAGAAGAGTGACAGAGAGAAAGTGGGAAAAACTTGTGCTGGAAGTCCTGAACAAAGGTATTTATGAGTAAGTCACTTCCAGGTTTCAGTAAGTACGCGTTGTTTTGATTGCAGCTCAGGAGGCAAGTGGGAGAGAAACTGGAGATGAAGTCAGTGTGTGACATATGGGCAGTTTAGATGAACAAAGAGAACAGGAGGGGGAGGATGAGAATGGTGGGTGAGGAAGACCCTATGGATTGTGTTTTGGGGAGGCCAGAGCCCCTAATCGTTGCTTTGATTTCTTAGTGGAAATTGGGATTCTTAACTGTATGGACCTTGTACATACCTAAAATATCCAATTAAACTGTGTCTAGAGAACAGGTCTTCTTTTTTGGGGGAGGGTACCCAAAATCAAACTCAAGACCTTGTGCTTGTCAGGGAGGTGTTGTCCCCCTGTGCTATGTCCCATGCCCTCAGTTTTTTTTTTTCCTTGTAGTGTTGGAGATTCAACCCAGAGGCATTACCACTGAATTACATCCCCCATTCATTTTTATTTTGAAACAAAGTCTCACTAAGAGACCCATGTTGGCCTTGAGCTTGTTATCCTTCTTCCTCAGTCTCTTGTATAGAAGGAATTCAAGCATATGCTACCCTGCCTGGCTAATACTATTTTATATGCAACCCCCCCTTTCCTGATCTTAATATTAACACATAGATGGCTTGATAAATACTGTCAAAGGAAAAAGAACCATGGGAAGGTAGATTAGAAGGCTTTAAAAATTGGTAGGTTGCGAACACAATGAAGGCCTGAATGTTGGATATTGTAAGGAAGAAAAATTAAGGATTTATTAGTAGGAATAATAGAACTCAGTTATTGAACTTTGAGTTTGTTTGGAAGAAACATACAGTATTACTATAAATAATGAGACTGATTTTTGAGCAGATATTCTGGAATTAAGATAATCTGCCAGGAAGATAGCTCAGCAGCATAGGTTCCTGCCTGGCAAGTGCAAGGTCCTGAGTTCAATCTCCAGTACAAAACAAAAACAAAACCAAAAATGATTATTTCTTGGCATTATCTTGAGAGGCCATATCCTTATTCCTACGCTTCTTTTTGGTAATTTCTTTCAGATTATTTGTATCAGTATGCCAAATTAGTTTTATTTCAATCAAGAAAATGTGCTTTCAAGTGTAATAGGAACTCCTGAGCCTGGCTACTTTTATTTACCATTTTTGGTCTAAATAACTTTTGGATATTTCTCAAATTAAAGTTTTTGCAGGAGGACAACATTTCAACTTTTTGGCATGGCCATTCACTTATAAACGTATTTATTGGGGCCACTTTGAATGTTAATGCTGATAGCATAAGTGCGATACTGGATTAAAGTCTTCTGTGGCCCCAAGCAAGTAAAGAACCATGGAGATTCCAAGGAAGATTCAGTGACTTCCAATGAGAGGATTGGGGAAGGCATAAAGGATGAAACATTTGAGCATGGCACTTAAAACAGACAGGATCTGAACATTTACAGATGTAAGAAGGAAAGGCCTTACAAGTAGAAGAAGCTAACCTGGGAAAGGTAAAGAATTTTGAAAGCAATGAAGGCCTGAGCTTTGGATACTGAAGGAAGAATTATTGGGATTTATTCGAAGGAATGGTAGAATTGAATTGTAGAACTCTTGAGTCCCCCTCCCCTGGTATAGGGGATCAAACTCAGGACCTTGTGCTTGCCAGGCAAGAGCTTATGCCATTCAGCTGTAGTCCTGGCCCAGAACTCTTGAATTTGTTTGGAAGAAACATACAGCATTACTATGAATAATGAAATTGTCATTTGAGCAAAACTTCTCAAATTTATTTGTTTGTTATTTTTTGAGTTTTTGAGGCTAGATCCCCTATGTAGTTCAGGCGGGCCTTGAGCTCACCATGTAACCCAGGCATCAACTTGCTGAACTTGTGGTAATCCTCTTGCCTCAGCCTTTTGGTTGCTGGAATTACAGGCATGTATCACCAAGCCCAGCTTGGAATTTATGTAATCTGATTGTTTTTTAGAGTTATCTTGGAGGACTATTTTTTATTCCAGTGCTTCTCTGGGAATTTGAGAACCTAAAGAATCTGAGGTCCAAATTTTAACTTAGAGCATCATAAAGATGACTCAGGAAAAAAAAAAAAAAGACTCCTTTTTTGGGGAGCAGGACTCATTCGAAACATGTAAAAGCATATAAAAGCTCATATTTATCACAACGTGTGTGTACATATATAGCGTATTTGTGTGTATAGGTTGCTTTTGCCACACTAAGGAAGGGGACAGGATGGGAATATTTCTTTACATGTCTTTTTTTTTTCTTCTTCTGAGAAACCTGAATGAGACCCTTTTTCCCTTTATGATGTATTAATTTTATTTTATATTTTAAAATTTAATTTATATTTTTATTTTTATAATGTATTAATTTTAATGTTACCTTTTCCTACATCACAATTTCATATAGTCAGAGAATTTCAGAAGTGAAGAATCCTTCAAGAGTAAGTCTAGGTGGGGCCGGGGAGATGGCTCAGTGGAGTAAGTGCTTCCCTGGGCCTGAGTTCAATCCCCTTTTCTGCCAAAAAAATAAGAGTAAGTCTAGGGCCAGCCAGATAGCTCAGCGGCTAAAGCGCCTGTTTAGGCTAAGTGCAGTGGCTGGGGTTCAATTCCCAGCATACTGTGCTGGCCCTGCTCCCAGGGCATGCTGAGACTGCGATTGAGACTGGGCGTGACTGGGCATGGTAACACTTGGCTGAGAACAGGAAAAATTCTATTTTATTTTACTCATTTCTGATCCTTTGGTACCTCTTCTATGGTGCTTATGAAGGGGAACAAAATTACTAAATAAGACCATTTTTGGAATAGGTGTGTTGAGATACAGTTCACACACAAGGTAATTCACCCATTGTACAATTCACTGGTTTTCCATGTATTTGCAGAATTGTGCGGGCTTTATAACAATCTAAGGTTTAGAGTATTTTTTTTTTTTTTTTTTTGGTGGAA